ACTTAAATTCAAAACTTTAGGGACTGACAAATCCAATTTCCTTTTTGTGAATATCAGAAACAATTTGATAATTTGGGAGCTTTCCTGAGGCTACCTGATTCATCTTTTACTCATCACAACTAATCGTAGAAGCAGCAATAATAATAAGTGGTATGTATAGTAACTCATCTCAAACCTGAGATACAAATGGCTCTCTTATTCTTTTCTCCTAGAGAACAATATGAGGATGCAAGTAAAAATTTGGGAACAACAGAAATAACTTCTTACCACAGATCTCATCTGGCATTCACTGCAGTCAGCTGCTGCTTATTGACAATAACAGGTATTAGATAAGAACATAAAGATCTCTATCTAAAAAACAGGACGAACCATGAAAAAAAACAAACCTCAGACCAAAAGCCCACAACTCAATTCATCCCTGTGTTTAATTTACAACCATAATCCATAAGTCCAGAGGCAGAAAAAAACTTTAGATTGTTGTTTTTTTTTTTCCTCTCAACTCAGTGGCCCCAAGAACCCACTACGACGTAATTGGTTCCAAATCACCCTCAATTCTGAACCCTCAGTGCCATTTTATTATGCAGGCAACTGTTTCATAACCTTAGTTGAAGGTTTTCTCTAAGTATGATTTATGATATTTCTGAGTTGTTTGGAGTTAATTATTTTGAGTGACAACTGCAAACAACTACCACTACTTGTTTTATCTTAAAATGTTGATTTAAAGATGTTGTCTCTTCTCACAGTTATTTGATGATACACTTAATTTTTGCATATTTATTTTCCATAAGCTATTTGCGTTGTATAGTTTACAGCCATTAAATCACTCAGTGACATAGTTAATAATTACTAGAAGAACAGTGAGAGAAACCACGTGATTATCTGAGGTTGTGCAGAAAATTTAAAATATCCAGAGCCATCAATCTATCCTCTTTCGGAACCAGAAATTTACTTCTGGACTACCTGAAAGGTTTTCTATCATTACGAAAACAGCTTTCTATCATCATGACAAAGTCTCTGGAAGGTAAAACAGTTTCATTGGACAGTACAGTTTATTACATTACACAGATTTAATTTGCTTGGACAACGCAAATCTAGAAATTCCAATGACAGGAAGAGAATCCACATTATATGAATGCAAGATTTTTTATGCAAAATCAGGAAATAGGAGCAAACATCTATACAGAAGCTTAATTTTGGTTCTACTTGAAAGTGAAATAAATGCTTTCAGACTCTAACACCAACTTTAAAATGGCAAAAATGTTTTATGCCATTTAATTCATTACTAAAAGCTAATAATAACTACCATGAATATTGCTTGGCAAAGTCATTTCTTAGTTTCTGACACAGAACATCATCTAATCCATTCTTCTATAGCTTTAAAAGGTTCCTAAGGATAGAGGAATAGTAGATTTTTTTTTTTAGGTCCAGAAGAAACAGCAGATCTGGAATCTTATTAGCAATAGACATATAATTGGTTAAAATCAAATATAAATTAATAAGTTTCATTATTCATTTTTAGCTTGAAAATTTCACTGAAGAAAAATTCACTAATGGCCTTACTTACAGAGAATGAATGCCAGCCAAAAAAACCAAACCCAATTTACCAGTGATGTATTGCCAAGAAATGGTGATTCACTGACTGAGCACGCGAATTAACAATCACTTTTCTTACAAAAAACAGTAGGCAAAAACATAACTTGGCAGAACCTCCCTCCTGTTATTGTGGACTCTAATTAGCATAGTCATATAAAAAGATTGAGATTAAATACGTCAAGGACTCAGAATTGTTTGAATTCCTCTTTGCTTAATTAATCCAAATATTTAAATTATCTTCTTCATGTAATTCGGTGTTTCAACCGGAATTCCAGTGATAGGCATGTAAAATTGCTATTTGCAGACTGATTATCTAGCTCACTTTTAAAACCTGACACTAAAATAAAGATGTAATGCCTTTATGTCAAACATCTTTAAGAAGCCACCGCCTCTGTTAATTAGCCAAGCACGTATCCTGTTCTCTCATTAATCACCAGATCTCACATAGCACCCAACTCAACAGGTTTCTCACTTCTCTCTTTATTGGTGGATCTATAATATTCATACAAACTACAATTCAGCTAAAATGTCTTCCTTACTTTTCCTATAGCTTGTTAAATTAAAAAGAGAATTTTTGTGGAATCTCCAGTGATCAGAAAGCTCACACAGCGTCCAAAATTCAGCTCTTGAAAAGTCATGTTCCAGTATTTCAGAAAATAAACACTCCTGTATGACATGTACTTGCTTGTCATGAGGGCATTTCTCCTGAGTACTCTGTAAGCTTTGGTCCTTGCTGCACTCATTGAGTGCTCCACACTCAGTTTAATTTTCACTCCAGTTTTCTTTCACAGGACAAATTCTACTTTACCCTATCTGTTAATTTTTGTGACAAGAATTAAGTGCCCCTAGAAATACATCCTTTCTTTGCTTTACTAAGATGGAATTTCAGCACAGCAGTGGGGACTGAGTGAAATCTGACTCTGTTCTTAATGGTCAAGTTCGAACACCTCCCCATCCTCACACCTATCGAAACTGCAAGGCAATACTATTTACAAACAGGAAAAACAATGCAAGCTGGATCTGCAAGTCTAACAGCAGAAGTATGATATTTACCAGTGAGTCCAAATACAGGAAGATAGCCTTGAATCCAATGGTACATGGAAGGTATCTTCCACGAATCCACAAATTATAGAAAGATTGATATTCTTAATTCTGAATTCCTTTTTCATCTGCATTTCTTTTCTAACACACTGACATTCAGAGAACTGCTTCCATGATGAATCACTAAATACAAATTAGAATAACGTCTGTCTCTTGCTGGACTTTTTAAGCATTTATTTGCTACCTCATATGTTAACAAGAATCTTATGTGGTTAGTTGACTTGTCATTTTTTCAAGATGATTTGAGATCCAAAAAGACAGATCTTACAACGTTTGTACTACCATAATTTTGAAATAAATCTATAATTACATTGTATTCCTGGCAAGAGCTTGAAGTAACATCAATATTCTTTATAAGATCTGTCTCCCAGAGAAAGACTCCTAGATACGTGGCAAATTGTGAGTACCCATGGGAACATATGAAGATCTCTGCCAGGCTTCTCCATCACTGTCATAATATTTGACATGAATTAGAATTCTGGCCAGCGCTCAGAATCAGTAATTCCTATAAATCTTTTCAATGTCACAGAAAGTATGACACTGCATTAATTACATATAATATTATCCTACAAACAGAATTTTACAGATTATCTTACATGCATTTTGTCCTTTTTAAATGGGGCTCCAGGGTAAACATGCAGAAGAGGTACATTTGCAAGAATACAGCCTTACACATTAAAGAAACAGAGATGAGATGGAGAGCATATATAGAAGAAAAATATGAAACACTAGTCATGTTTAACTAACCATTAACTAATTCTCTTGTAAAAGGCAGGACTCCTAGGAGAGGCTGTGTCGGCACTTTTGGACAGTACACAATGGCTATTACTAGAATTATAAAATACAAGGAACATCACGTCCAAACTCACCACAGAACTGAAGTGGAAATAGATTTCTGTTTTTCTGAAACTGACATCATGTCTGTCATGCTCCCACTAGTATGGTATTTGTTAGAATAAAAGAATTAAATCTTAACAGAATGGTAATCAGATAATAAAGGCAGCTGCTGCTGCACAGGTCTAGAGAGTGTTCACAGTTTGGAATGACGGTCATGGTTTGTATTCTGAATTCAAAGAAAGAAAATAAAATTAAAACATGTAGGCCAAGGACCTGAAGTAATAAATTTATTCCTGTCAAATAGGAAATACCTTTTTTCATGGAGATAGGTCTGGAGACACCAACAAATTAGCAAAAAAGATAGACACCTGTAAGAACAGCATTTTTGCAAACACAATAACTATCAGGTGTAATAGGATTGTAACAGGCATATCCAGAAAACCTGTAGACACATTTATAACACTACAAATCATTTTCCAGAAATAAAAATAATAAAAATCTTTTTTTTTTTTTTTTTGTTTTTTGTTCTGAAATTATCATCTAATCACTAGATAGGAAACAGGAAAAGTGCTTAAAACATTATTAAGAAGCAATTTGTCCAATATTAGATCATTTTACTGATTCAGTTTGACAAAAACTGCCAACCATTATCAGTCTTAAGGTCCACTTATACTTTATCCACTGATACTTTAAGCAGTGTTTAGTACCAGCTGCTTCAGAGGCAAGTCAAAGAAAAATCAGAATAACGTAATGAATATTACATTGGCAAATTTATAGAAAAAGCATCTAAAACCTATGCTTCATGAAATTTAATTAGAAGTCTGTTTCATGCATTCTATTTTAAATTGCTTTCATATATTAGTACGTATCTGATATTATAATTTCATCTTAACCATCAATAAGGGCATCAATCTTAGAAACAGCAATGAGGTCATTAGTTTAAAACCTACACGCACTGATAGCAGCAGAACTATGCAATATCCTGACTATACGCAAGTCACAAAGATGTAGGTGAGCTCTGAAACTGACATACATGCAATATATATTAATAGAGTAAGAGTTATACTCTCCCCATGTGTACCACATTACAGCTGGTAAACATACAGACTTAAATACATTATGAGAAAAAGTCTGTAAAGATCAGATTAGGAAAATTCTAATTTTTGATAATGAGCATAAAATACGCTTCTTTTAAGTCGCAAAAATGTACAAAAGCTGCAGGGAATGCAAGTTTGGTGAGACTTCGTATAATGAAGTGCTGAAGCATGTAAGTTACTCCTTCCAATCTCTTAAAATTTTTAAAATCAAGTTTAACCTGCTTAGTAAAAACTGTTCATGTATATTAGTTAAAATTAAACTGCTTAAGCAAAACAATGTCCGCCTTTAATTACTTAAACTGAACCAGTATCAAGGGGATTATTTGTGCAACCTCATAAGCTATACAAGAAAGAAAATATGTTATTTCTAACCTCTGCTGCCAGTTGCTGAAGAGAAGGGGATGCGATAGGATGTAAAGTTGAATTGCCTCTGACTGGATTATGGAGGCTAACATAAGCCACAACGTTTCTCTGAAGAACTCTCTTGAGATCCTACAACACAAGCAGAGCAACAGTTATTACTACTCATGGTTATAATTAATTGTTTTATCATTTCCTTTCCTTCTAGGGAAAAACTGCACCCTATGATTCTGTCCTCTGTGCTTCCCTAAGTAATACTTACCTACTGTTTTTACAATACACTGTTAAAAACTTCAAAGGATATCTTAGTGTTATTTCTCTCTATAGCAGAAGTTTTAATTCCATTTCACACATCAGCTCAACAAAATGGAAATAGGCCTATGAGGAATTAAAAATAACTACACTTGTAAGGCCAAAAATGAAAACATTACATACTGTGAAACGACGTGAAGGCCTTATACACTTATGCCTGACAGAAGACAAACTTCAAAAGCAATCATTATCAACAGTTAAACGTACTCTAATTTTTAGAGAGCAAATTCAGATTTAAATTGCATAACTTTCTCAGTGTCGTCACATTATTATGCCTCAGACTAAGAAAAAAGTATGTACAAACTGTTTCAATTATTATCTCTTAAAAAAAAAAAAAAACAACACACCCTTTGCCTCCTTAGTAATGAGTTACTCTTTGCATGAAGTGGCTCTTCATACTGAACAGAAGGGGTGTAACACAATTACATCTGATGTAAAGCTGACTTGAAGTGGAACTAAATAGATTTTGCTTCCAGCCTGGATCTTTTCAATTTGATTTTTTCACCCCCTCTTGTTTTTGAAGAATAATTGTTTTGGAAGTATGAAACTTCAGTGGCAGCTAGCTGCTTCTCAAGCATGATAAAAATAAATTAACTCTTCATTTTCTCTACTGTTTTAATTCCACAGCCATGAACATATCTGTTAGCTACTCCTTTAATTTATCAACTGAAATCAATTCCATTCATATACAATTAAACAAGACTGATGAGGTATTTTCTTTCACAGAGCTGATTTATATTCTTTTGAATGGAAAAGAGCCCAAGGAATTTTCCTTGTCAGATTGCAGCTAACTTTTAAGCACAAATATACAGAAAATGAACCAGTGGCAGTCATGAGATATTGAAATGTTTGTGTAGTCAATGCAACGGTTCTCCTCCTATCACACGTACTCTGCTCCACAGAAACTGCCTCCAAAGATGTTTCATTGGATGTGCTGTGGAATGTGTGAATGTCTACAGACAGCTGTCACAGACCAGTTAATAAACAGTAATTTCTATAAGGTAATTCCATAGTACCTCCATGTTCTCAACAAATGCAATAATAATTGCAATGTTTTCTTCTAAATTTATTTTACCTCTGCCCACTCGTATGAACCGATGTTCCCAAACGATGTTCCTCCCCAGGAGCAGAACACAATGGTCCGGTCAGTTCTCCATCCTCTCTTAACTTTTAGCATCAAGGCCTGTATAAATGCTGTTATGATAGCAGTGCTACTGGCCCATTCTTGTCCACTGTAAGTATTCAAACTGCTGTGATGACTACCAATGATGACGTATCTGTCTGAAACAAAAAAAAAAAAAAAAAAGAGAAAAGAATCTTCCTATACTTACTGGCATTAAATGAATTACAGAAATAAAAGATGAATTTTCTTAGTAGTCTGTAATGCCGTTAATACAATACAACGTTGCTGACAAAAGCCAATATGGTCATGTGCAAGACAGTCATAGAGTAGAAATGACTGTGAATACCACTTAAAAATAAATTAATAAATATTTGTACTTTCCTAATTTTACCCCGTGCCCTTCTCTCCATTGCTTGCTTAGTACTTTCTCTCCTTATAAATCAGGTATATGCCCCCTTTTCCAGCCAGGACTTTGAGATACAGATAATCTAATCAAGTTCCATGCTTGTGTTAGTGTTGTTTAGGAAAAAAACACAACAACACAA